CTATCGTAACGAAATTATAAATAAAAGATAAATAAAATGATAATAAATAATTTTCAAGAATAATTGAAAATTATTTAAGAATAAAATCTCCAAGTCGATGCCACAATGTATATAGGCATGTAATTTGAATCCCCGATAATCGCGCGCGTTGAGTGATACTCCACACACACAGTCTTATATTCTCGTTGCTTCTAAAAATGTATCTATGACTATGATATTATAATATAACTTTGTTAAACTGTTATATTATAATATATTATTTTATTCTATCTTATGTTATATTATTCTATATTATGATTTATACTATATTATATTATGCTATATTATAAACTATATTAATTATTTAATACCAATATTCAAGCTTGAATATTATAAATATATGCATGAAAAATTTAATATAGTGTATTTACCTTATATAAAGATACTAAAATATTATTATAAATAAAACAATTATACTTTACTCATTTTTATTAATAATTTGCAGTAATTAATTAATTAACAATATGCAAATTATTGTTAATTCATGATTTTTTTTATTAATAATGATAAATCGTATTATTATCATTGTTAATTACATTTACTAAAATTAATATTAATAATTAATCATAATTATTATTATAAACAATTGGATATATTACCAATACTATTTTTCTACTTATTAGAATCATCATTATCAAATATTATTTCAAAGAATATGCATTGTATATGCACGTATGCGTGTGCATTATTTTTATCGTGTGTACGTGTGTTCATAGTATGCCAAAGTGATATGCATAGATATGAGTATACATTGTTTGGTTGCACATTTCTACGCATATTATAGTAACCAACAATAATGTGATTATTATATTGCAATTATTATATTTACGAAAATGTATTATTTTATAAGAAGGGAGAAGAATCGCATACGTTAATTCTATCTATCTTTCTCTCTCTTTCTCACGCGTTCAGGTGCAATGAGTCTCGCAGCGTGGATGCGGTACACACAGACACGGACTCCCCATAGCCTGCGTAACGCATATGTGTGAGGCGCTTGAGGAGTATCGCGCGATGCAAACACTGCCTTCCTTCCCCTATTCTTTTCCTTATAATACCTTCAAATTAAAAAAAAAAAGGAAATAAAGATACAATAATTGTTGATAGCTTAAATTGGAACATGTCACATTTTCCAAGCACATATAAACTCGCAACAATTAAGATTTTATTTTAAGAGGGTCAATTTTGTAAAAAAAAACAAAATGCATATAAAAAAAAAAGAGAAGAAAATTTTTGAGACATGTATGTCGTGCATATATGCATGTGTACTAAGGTAAATGTACGTGTGTATGCGTAAAATGTATATGCATATATAAAAAGGAAAATAGTTTCATTTTTAATATGAAAACGATAATCTGTGCAGAACTATGGCTGCTCTGGAATTCAACAAAGGTTGCGAGTTATACTTTATTAAAAACACACATATACACTTACACATATGGAGATGTGCAGTTCCAATAGTGTCAACAAAGAAAAGAATAACAAGAATCATGGGTTCTGAGAATATCGATGGACGATGATCTAAGTTTTCTTATCGATACCCCTGAAACCCCCAGAATCCTTCTACCCCTGATTCACTAATCCCACTAAGTGCATCTCGCGATGCTCTTTATAAGCAGAAGCTCATAGGGCCTCATTGCCTATTCGTCTTCAGTCAATCACTTAGTACGTGTTACTGATTTTTGCATTATTTCTTTAAAAAGTGAACTTAGAGTTTAAACTGTGGAGAAAGCTCAATAATATACCTGCTGAATCACGATAGATTTTCGTTGAGCCAGGTAAATTAACAACAGTGCTTAAATTTCTAAAATTAAAATTGCTGAATCACGATAGATTTTCGTTGAGCCAATTTTTAATTTTAAGAATAAGGCCCGTCTGCGAGCTGGCTCCAATTTAAATTCTATTTTCTTTGGGCGGACGTAAAATTAAATCGAACCTTGAACCGGCTGAGTCCCAATCGGTTGATCAGTACAGTGAGAAATTATTTAATAAATTATTTATAATTTATTAAATAATTTTTTGTTCTTAAAACCGGCCAGTCCGTACGGATTGTACCTGCGCCGCTTGTGTCTGATAGGGTACCGGTACCGCGTTTCGAGACGCGGAAATACGCATAACACCTTTCTTTCGTTTTGCCCGTTGATTGTGCGACGAGATCGCGAGAATTCTCCCTTCTCAACAAGCTCTCTCGACGGTAGTGTGTAAGAGAAATCTAGCCGTAAGTAATAAAAAAACTGTATCGTTCCAAAAACATTATTCTTTACAAAAGAAAGCATATAATGTGTAATTTTTGCAATTTTTACTTTGATTTTTAATAAATTTTTGTAAACTAAAATTCCAATTGTTCTATTCAATCAAATAGACCTTTTTATTTGTGCTGTCAAAAATAGTGTGGATTTTCATCTCAAAGCTAAGAAACATTATTTACGATCTAAAGATTAAATTGGCAGTTTCGTCTTCTATCGGCGATATAATTAATCGAACCCACATTAAAAATAAACATTATTAAGTTGAATGTTCATTTTGACTTTTTAATGGCAACTTGGTTCCTCTGGCGAATAGAAAATTTTAAATAATTGTTCAAAATTATAAAAATTAATAAATTAATTTTCTCGTTCGTAACATACCCATTTTTAAATTAACAATTTTTTTTCATTTAATCGTCGTAGAATGACGTTTAAAAAATTGAATGTATAACTAAATGTGTTGTCAAAAAAATTAAATAACCCCTTTTTAGAAGTAGCCTGGAACCTGATCAGGACCAAACCACAAATAAGATTTTCTTAAGGCAATTGCTACGTTATTAATATGATATATTAATAACTTTTACAACAAATCGAATTTTTAATATTAATTTAAAAAAAAAATTGCATATTTTCGTTAATGATCCCTTGTCAAAGACACGGTGAAAAATTAATCGAATACTATAATACGTGAAAGATAAAATATCGAGAAATAGTGAAACAAAAAAAAAATGATATATCCTCCGAAAATTGGATGTAAGAAAAGTAAAATAGTGTCAGTAGGAGAGGGGGGAAAGAGGTGGAAAATCGACGTCGCGATAAACAATGGTACGTCGACGATTGTAAGCAATGCTAGAAACTGGAAGTTTTTTTTTTCTTTCTTCTTTTTTACCTTCCTCCTTCTTATACCCAGGAACAATTCCAAGAGTCCCCGGGGACTTGAGTTATTACATCTTGAACTGGCACGGCACTATAAGAGAAACAACGCGAGAAAAGCGGAAGTACAGTGAAGCTACGGCGCAGGTATACATATATATATATATATATATATATATATATATATATATGGCGCTTTTGTATCAGCTCTTGTTTAAAGTTTTCCTCTCTTTCTCTCTCAAAAAGCGGAGAAATATTAACGGTTGCACTCTCCTAATATTAGAAGATCCTATGGGACATATTGGTCGCGATTTGTTCTCTCTGCGTCCCAATGCCTGGCAAACGTTGTCTTGGAAACATTTTTCTTGAATCCGTAGAAAAAAGTATCAATTCTTCCTTTTCTTTTTCTCTCTTTCTTTCTTTCGATCGAGAGTAGATCTCTTTGAACATGCTCTTGAAAAATAGTGTCTCGACAATCTTTAAAATTACTGTATTTTTCGATACAAACTATTTCTAAAGTAATTTAGAAGGCAATTAATGTCCTGTAAGAATTTTCCAAATTCATTGTGGAAAAAGAATTTTTAATACCTTTAGCAAGTAAAGTAAATGAAAGAAAAAAAATTATAGCTTTTATTTAAAATATAAAAGACGAGTTTTCATATTGAAGAATTTCTATGTAAATAAATTCTGAATAAATTATTATTATTGCTGCGCAAGAAAATTAAAATTATAAGACGCGACTATAATGGTCAATAAAGATCGGTAGTTACCGAAAATTTACGAACAATATAACAACTTTGGAATATAGAAATGAATAAAATTTTTAAGAAGCTCAGTGCTCTTTTCGTTAGCAAACTGACTAGTATTATTGTATTTATATAATCGAATGCTTGAATTTAAAAAAAGAAATCTTTAAGTATTCAAAATTTTTTGATACTTTGCAAAAATAAAATGAAATTAAACTAATTTATTTATAAAAATTTTATTTTTCTGTTTCAGGTGAGTCTCTATATCAATATGTAAACACAGCTTTTTGTAAAAAAAAAAAAAGAAATATGTAAGTATGTAGTAATATTTTATTAATTAAACTTATATTTATTTTTACGTTTGGATTTCCCGCGTACACCTTTTTGCATAATGCTTTTACGCATTCTATCCCCCAGCTTTAACCTCACTTCTAAAAAACCCCAGAATCCCCAAATTGCGGTCCGTAGTCCGAGCTATACTATTGGTTTTAATTAAAATTATAAATTACAAATTTTGTTAACATAAAAAATAAATTTACGAATATTAATATAACATAATATTCGGATAAATAAAAATTCGTTAAAAGAACAATTCTCATACACATAGAAATACTTTTTGTTTTGAAAATTGTGAGTGCTAACCTGATCTACTAAGGTTTTTACGTCAGCTTTGAAATTATATAGTATCAATCTCGGAAAGTGCGAATACTTGCATTTCATTGAATTAAAGTTTTCAATCAATCGAATGAAATAAAAGTATTTACACTTTTCAAGATTGAAACTATTTCAATCTTTCTGGTGTAAAATTGTAGTCTGATTTCTAATAGTGTAAATAATATCACAGAAAATTAAAAGGCATTAAAATAAGCTGCAACGCTTATTATTTTAATACAATTTTGCTTATTTTAATCCATTTTGGTATTAAAATAAGCAAAATTGGATTAAAATAATAAGCGTTGCAGCTTATTTTAATGCCTTTTAATTTTCTGTGATGTTTAAAGTTAATATTAAAAAATTTATTGTTTCTATTATTTTTTTATTTTTACATAAACAAATGTTTATGTGACGTTGCATAAAAAAAAACTTGAACAAAAAAATATTTACATTTTATTTTTATTTTTCCATATAATTGATGATAATAATATTGCCAGAAAATGTATTAATTATAATGACCTAAAGAACATGATAAGAATCACAATTTATTTTCTTAGTATTTTTTATCGTTCAGTACGTTTCATCTTCAAATCTGCAAAAAATTTCAGAAATATTATTTATTGTTTATAACTTTTTAAATCAAATTTTTCTATTAAAAATTATAATTTATATTTATATACCCTCAGTCTACATGAGTGAATTTATAATATTTTTTTAAAAGTATTTTAAGTTACAATGTTATTTACATAAAATTATAATTACACTAGCATACAAAAAAATTGATATTCTGAGCTTTTGATCAGACCATGACTACTTTATGTTTTCAAGGTCGCTGAAACCAAATCTTGAAGTTCGTTTAATCCTTTCACGTCAGGATTTTGAAATAACTTCAAAAAACACCAAAATTTGTTCCCAAATTTTTAAAATACAAAAAAAATTAAATCTCCAAGTCTCACTATAACTGCTTTATATTTTTGAGATCGCTGAATCCGAATCTGAAGTCTATTTATAACCCCATCATGTCAGGGTTTTGACATAACCTCAAAAAAAACCAAAATTTAGAGATTTTTTGAAGTTATTTCAAAACCCTAAAGTGATGGGGTTAAATAGACTTCAGAGTTGCATTCAGCGACTCAAAAATCATAAGGTAGTCATGGTAAGACTTGGAGATATAAATTTTTTTAGATTTCATTTTGAGGTTATTTCAAAATCTTGACATGATGGGGTTAAACGAACTTCAGATTCGGTTTCACCCGTGCAGAAATCGTGATGTGGGCCTCATGAGGTACTTACCAGTTTTCCCGATCTCTAATAAGGGCCTTGTCGGGAAAACTGATGAAAGCCTCACAAGGGTGTAATGATTTTCCTCACCAATGCCCTATAGGTGAAGAAAACTAGTGAGGGCCTTACCAGTTTTCCATACGCATACCCTATTTTTTTATATTATATAAACTCAAGAAAATTCATGGTAAATTTGACTACATTTAATTGACATTGACTACATTTCTCCTAGTTCCAGGGGGCGCCTATAACAAACAATAGTTGAAACAACTATGTAAAAATTGTAAGATTAACTGTAAAATTTAGTAAGAAAAACTATTCAAAGTAGTAAATTTATTATTATAAGTATATTAGTATTGAGATCCATTTTTTCATCCTCTCCCCTACTAGTTTCGTTTGTACATGCCTAAAATATTTAAATTTATATACCTAACAGAGAAAAATCCCGAAACGCTGGGGATTGAACGCACGACCCTAACATTCGCAAGCCGACAAACTTAACCAATTAACCACGCACACGCACGCTAGGATAACTTGCATGATATTTGAGGACATTCTTGTCACTATCCAGTTAATTTTACTATCAAATGTAAATTAAAAAAATTATAAATTCTTATTTTATCCAATGTAATTTGCTACTTTTAATAGTTATTATCTTCTTTTAATTAATACTTCTCAAACTTTACGTAAAAATTTTTTTTTTGCGCCATCGTTCTGAAAAATATGTTAATACCGTGGTAACTATGGAGAGTTCCATACTTCTTTTTAGGGAATTTAACAGGAACCCATAAGAAAATTTAATAATAAGAAATAAATTATTATTTAAAATCGAAATCATTTAACTAATTTACAATAACATTTTTGCAAAATGTTAACTTTAAATACTTAATAAGTTTTAATTTTTTTTAAACCAGGAAAACTGAAATGGCCCTTGACAGGGCCATATATGGAATATCCTAGTTGGGGTTTTGGTCGGGAATTCTGGTCAAAACATTAAAATAAAAAAATATCTAAAATTATTGTAAAACGATTTTATTTTACTGTTAATAACACTTTAATGAAGGAAAAAATTTAAAAATTTAATTTTTTCACATTTTACTCAAACAGGGAAAACTGATAAGGCCCTTACCAATGCCTTACTTTATCTAGGGCAAAGTCAGGCGATTTCTGCAAAAATTTAATATTATTATATTAAACTGTAATTAATACTAAATCTTAAAGCATAAACGTAATTTTAACGAAAATTGCGATTCGGCTGCAGTAGTCAGATTTTATAAACATAAAAACTGTACTTATTGAAGTTCAACAATAGCAGACGACACTCAGCTGTTGGAAGCGAATTGTGTTTCTTTTAAAAGCCAATAGATGGCGCTCGCTATGGCTTTTGGTAAAGTTGCTACCTATTTTAACAGTGCACTCAGCTGTTTTTTTTGTTACGAATTATTCTGCATGGGCAGCGACCCCAAAAACAAGGTAGTAATGGTCTGATCAAAAGCTCAGAACATTTTTTTTTGTGTGCAAAAACACATTATCTGTGTTTAATCACAACATTGACAATTTTGCTGAGGGTATAACGCAAGTTTTCTAAAAACATTTAAAACATTTAAAACTCTTAAATAACAACGCATAAAGAAATTTTTATACATGCATTTAAAACTATGATTCTTTTAATAGCTTTTTATATTTAATATAAAAATATTAATGTTTACCTTATTTAAAAAAATTAAGACTGCTTTTCAAAAAGACTGTTGAGTTACTAAAATTTCGATCTTCCACGAAATTGACGACACATGCCACTTTTTCTGGAACATAATTTTTGGCAGCAATCATTATTATTATTACATGCTTGACCTATATCTTTGCATGCAATATTTATTTTAGTTAAAATACTTAAAATCAAACAGAATAACAATAAATATACACTTTTTGAAGAATACATTTTAATCGTCAACTCTAAATCGATTAAAATGGAAAAATAGTGAATAGTCGAATTGTGTTGCAGTATTTATATTACTTTCGATAAAGGAAATTTAAATTATTTTAATTGGTTTGTTTTTGTATTTTATTTGCAATATAATAATATTAAAAAAAAATGTAATTTTCAGTTTCTTATCAACTGAAAAGGAAAAACTTGACATCAAAATAAATTGTTCAGTTGAAATTAAAATAACTATTATTTGCGATAATAAAAAAGTATTTGTTCTTCTAAATTGAATAAATTATAAAATTATCAGTAAATATAGGCTAATTGTAAGTAATTTATATTCAAAAGTATACTTTGAAGATAATATAAAAAAAAATATTTTTGAAATTAGTTATTAATAATAATAATAATAATGGAAAAATTAAAATTATATTATTAATGCTTTCTAAATTTGAATTAATGAGAATTCGTTCATTAATTTAAATTAGTAGAAATTTTCACTAATTTCTATTAAAATATTACCTACTATTTATTTTAGTAATATTTTTTTCACAAAAGTTTAGTGAAAAAATGATTATAAAAATAATAATAATAATAATAAAGAATATGAAATTCTATAAGAAAATATTAAAATTAATTAAATAATTAATGAATTTGAAAAAGTTTTGTGATTAATTAAATATTCTTAAAGTGTTGAATTTCTTTATAGGTCGAAAAATGTAGGTTTTAGGGTTTGTGTATATAAATTTTTTTTTTTCGTCCAATTTTTACTCGCGGAAAAAGTAATCTATGTTGCATATCTCGCCTATCACTTTGATAGCACGAAATGTAGCGAGCCAGATGATTTCAAAGGTGAATACGAAAATAAAAGGCCTTTGATCTTGCATGTGCGGCAGAAAAAAATACAAAAATCGGGCAATCAACCAGCTGCCACACACTATAAATGGGAATCATCGCAATGTTTCAGTAACTCTATGTATATTGCTGTACAGTCAAAACACTGCATGATGAATTAAAACCTGGTTGTCTAAATATAATACCATTCATCGATTTTTTTTTTTTTTTTTTTTTGAACGTTTAAACCTCAACATATGTAGTATATCCCAATCAAAAATTTACTAATGGCGCAGTACTGGCGCAGTACTGGCACCCAGTTTTCGCGCCAAAGTTGGCGTAACTTTGGAATGATAACATTTTACCTGTATTGGCTACCAGGGTTGGCACCAGTACTGGTAACCACTACTGGTTCAGTACTGGCTGAGTACTGGTAGTTTTGCAATTTATTGTATACGAAAAGAAAGCTTTAACTGTAACAGAGATAAGTTTCACTGCAATAGTAAATCTCTGCTCCAAGTAATACTTTTTTTAGGAAAAAGTGTGTGAAATTTTTAGAAACCCAACACAAATTAAATATTAATTAAATAAGTCAACTAACTAATTAATATTTTATTTTATTATATATGAAATCGAAAACACCAAGAGTTTTTATTTTTTATTAAGTATAATAATATATTGCAAATTATTATTTTAAAAAATCAAAAAATAAATATAAAAATATGTTTATTATAAAACCAAAGTTTTTATAATATATAAAAACAGTTCAGTAAAAATAAAAATGTTTATAAAATAATTATAATGTATATAATTATACACAATTAGCTATTTAATTATTTTATTATTCACTTTAATTATTTGCATCAAAATAAATTTTTGAAAAACTTTTTTAAGAAAATAAAAGTTTTTTTTAATTTTTAACAAGTGTTGTAAAGAAAATTTTTTTAAATTTTTATTTTAAAAATTATTAATTTTTTTATAAAAAATTTTATTTATTTTTAGTTTAATTGTTTTAAAATTTTTTTGGTTTATTGCATATCTGAAAACAATAAAAAAAAACTTGCAAAATGTTTTGGAATTAGTCTCAGGAAAATTTTTGTTTAAATAATTTTACCCACAAAAAAGCAAAATAAAATACCTTTTAATTTTCAAAAATCAAATCAAAGTGAAAAAATTTAAACAAAAAGATTCATCGGGTTCAATTTAGAACTTTTTGTAAACTAGTATTAATCAAAAAGAAAATCTATTTGAGCCAGTACTGGCTCAATATCGGCTCAGTACTGGTTTGCCAGTACTGGGAGGGTGGTACTGCGATATCAAAAATTGAGTAAATGACAAACTTCAAGTTACTCAATTTGAGAGTGCCTTAATTTCAGATTTTTAGGTTGGTATCATTTTTAAACTGATTTACAATTTAAATAATTTTTTCTAATATTAGAATAATATTAAATAGATTCTTAACGTCAGTGCGAAAATTTAATATTTTTCAAGTAAAAAATATTAATCATTATTTATTTAAATAATAATTAATTTTATCAGTTTTCAAATTTTGCGCCATTGTTTAGATTGGCAGTACCGTTTTTGCGATTAAAACACATGTTTTCACGTTTATAACCTAAAAATATGTTTCTCTTACTTAAAATAATTACTATACGATAACAAGCAATTATCTTTTAAATTAAACAATATATATTGTTTAATAACTTATTATATAATAAGTTTAGTTTACACTGAGAAAAAAAATTTAGTGTTTGTAACAAAATTGTTTGGTTAGGCAATTTTTGGTTCTTGTAACGAAATTTTGGTTGGCTGAAACAAAGTCGTAAAGTTATCTCAACCAAACATTTGGTTAGGCCAACAAAATTATTTGGTTCAACATTTTTAAATTCTAACTAAAATTTGGTTACGACAACAAAATAATTTGGTTAACACAATAAAATAGTTTGGTCTAAAAAACCAAATGATCGTTTGTTGTCCTAACCAAAATTTGGTTACGACAACTAAATAATTTGATTCGCTCTCAGCTCATAGCTTAAGAGAAAAGTTAGTTTAAATCTCTCACAAGGATGGGTAGTCCAGTGGTCAGAGCTCCCGATCTTCAGTTTTAAAACAGAGGTTCGATCCCAGGCGGAGATGAGATTTTTCAAAGTCCACAAATATTTCAATTGGATAAATATAAATTCAATGTTAAATTGATAATAAATAAAGAAATAAATAAAAAAGATAAAAAGAAAAGAAATAAGATAGAATAAAATTTTTAATTTTACAAAAAAAACTGTTTGTTTTGTTATGTCATATTTTAAATAATTATTAATTTTGCCTAATCTAAACTTATAATTATACCCTGTTCTAACTCCTTAATTTAACTTAGTTAAATTAACTAAGTTGGGGAAAGGATTATTAAATGAATGTTTCTTTAAAAATGAAAATTATTTATTTAAATAAAAGTGTAAATGTTCTTAATTGACAATCAAATATTTTATAAAATCTATTTAATTTGATTTGGTAAAACTACCTTTTTATTTGTGGTGGCGGAGTTTCCCAATCTTCGTTTCTTGGCACCTGACTTTGATCTTCTATTGAGGTAATAAAGATTTTATTACTGGAAACCTTTTAACTGATGACAACACTTTAAAACTGTATTTTACACTTGTTATGAAGAACTTCTTGTATATATATTTTGGAAATCGATACTATGATCTTTTTACGTATAATTTGGGACTGCCTTGTTAGTGAAAGGTCTCCCATTATATAGTAATATTTTCCAATGTATTTCTCGCAGCGGGACCAGTTCGCCTCTATGGGTAGATTCAATGTCGGGACCTCACAGACACGAAAAATCTTTATTGCTTTTTCTTTTAGTAGTGGTGACTCCATAATAGATTTCCTGGTTTTTAGATCGTCTTTTCTAATTTTGAATATTAAGAACATCACACCTCTATGAAATATAATAATTTTACATATTGATTTACATTGATTATTTCTGATAACAATACATTTGTTATTTACAAATATTTGTTTACAAATATTTGTTTATTTATAAACGCTTATTTATAATTTAATATTACAAAAATATTTATTTTATTAAAATTAATTATTAATAATTATTATTTATTATAAAAAAATGTGACGGTGACATGATTATATTATATATTTGTTTATTTATAAATATATTTGTTTATTTATAAACAATTGTTTATCCACAAATATTTGTTTACAAATATTTGTTTATTAAAGAACAATTATTTATTTACAAATATATTTATTTATAAAAGAATTTATTTTATATAAATATTTATTTATTAATTATTATTAATTATTATTATTTTTATAAAAAATGTTACGGTGACGTGACACCTCCCCCCCCCAAATCGAGCATGGTGGTGAAACGAAGTGCAACAACATGGTCGACAGTTTTGTTTACATATATTCGTAGATTTTTTTTGTTTGTTTACATAAATTATTTAAACGAAAGTAAGTATATTCGTTGATCTATTAATTACAGTGTGAGCGTGATTAAATTCCTTTTTCGTTTTTATTTGTTTACATAGGCTTATAAAAAAAAGATGAGTCCTTTCATATCGAAGTAGTAATTTAGAGAAGTTTTACATAAATTTTTTGTTTAATTTTACTCAAACATAACGTTGTTACTAATTTCTAAACATTTTACGCAGAGACGTCGTAATTCTATTTAATACAGAGTTATAAATTTTATGTTATTACAATATAAATTTGCCTGTCTTGACAATCTATCGTTAATTCAATATTACATATAAAAAAATTTATTATCTGTATTATTATTATGATTCTTTTTTTTTATGAAAAAAAAAATTCAGAATTCTTCATTTTAAATTTTATGTTTAAATAAATGTAAACCTTTTTACTTCAAATTGAAGGTTTTTATAATTAATTTTGAAGTTGCAACGAAATATTTCGTGTAATTTTTAATTTATAATGGTATTTTATTTTTTCATTTATTATTGTTATTTTTGTATTTATTTATAAAAAAAAGTTTTTTTTTTGTTTATTTATTATATTTTTTGTGTTTTTGTGTGTTTTTTTTTTATTATTATAATCTATGAGTGATTTGAATTTAGGGTGATAGATGGAATATCTAAAATATATATTTGTGCATATGTTATTAAAATTGAATAATGGTAATATATGGATTCCCGGTTAAAAACCTGAAGTGATA